ACCTGGAGGAGGTGAGGGAAAGAGGCCCAGAAGAGAGGACAGCAAGAGGAGAGCCACAGGAACAGTGGCTGGAGGGGCTGGGCAGCGGAAAAGGGGAGGAGATGAATGTAGTCCAGGAGACAGCAGCTGGAAAGAGAGGGAGGAGCCGGGAGAGCCTTGGAGGCCCTCGGGAATATTTTGAGCTCTTCTCTCAAGACGGAGATGAGTCTGTGGAGGATTTTGTCAGCAGAGTGACATGGGGTGACTTACTTTCAAACAAAATCACTCTGGCAGCAGAATTAGGAAAAGACCAAAAGGGAGCAGAGAATAGGAGCAGGGAAGCCAGGCACTGGTGGCTCACACTTGTAATCCTCACTACTCAGGAGGCTGAGAGTTGAGGATTGCAGTTCAAAGCCAGCCAGGACAAGACAAAACTGTGAGACTCTTCAATTAACCACAAAAAGCCAGAAGCAAAGCTGTGGCTCGAGTGTAGAGTACTAGCCTTGAGTAAAAGAGCTCAGAGATAGCACCTAGATCCCAAGTTCAAGCCTTGGTACCTGCACAAAAATAAATAGGATCGGGCTGGGAAGGTGGCTCAGTGGTAGAGCGCTTGCCTTGCATGCGTGAGACCCTGGGTTCAGTTCCTCAGCACCACATAAGCAGAAAAAAAACAAAGCCAGAAATGGCGCTGTGGCTCAAGTGGTAGAATGCTATCCTTGAGCTGAAGAGCTGAGGGACAGCGCCTAGGCCCAGAGTTCAGGCCCCACGACCGGACCCAAAAAAATAAATAAATAGGATCAGGGAATTTGTGAGGGATGATGGCTGCTGGGTCCAGGTGGTGGAAGAAGAGGTAGTGCCCAGTGATTGGACTTGGGATTTGTTTTGAAGATAAAGGATTTGCTGGGAGATTAGACATAGGACTTAAGGTAAGAAAAGAGTCTGAGATGACTCTAAGGCCTGAGAAATCAAAAAGATGGGGATGCAAACTGGGGGAGGAATGTGTTTGAGGGGAAGATCAGGAGCTCCATTTTTTGTTTTCTGTTTTTATTTGTTCAGACATGGGGCTTGAACTCTGGGCCTAGGCACTGTCCCTCACCTCTTCAGCCAAGGCTAGCACTCTACCACTTGAGCCACAGCGCCACTTCCAGTTTTCTGATAGTTTATTGGAGATAAGAATCTCATGGATTTTCCTGCCGGGGCTGGCTTTGAACCAGGATCCTCAGATCTCAGCCTCCTTAGTAGCTCACAGGTGTGAACAACCAGTGCCTGGCAGGAGCTCGGTTTTGGATATATTAAATTTGGGTATCTATGAGACATCCAGGGGTGTCAAATAGGGAGTTACACCAGCAAAACTGGTCCTCCAGGGAGAGGTCTAGGCTGGAGAGACAAATTTGGTTGTCATCAACAGGGAATGGTATTTAAAACTGTGAGTCTGGATGAGGTCATCCTGCAAGAGTGTGGACAGAGAAGAGGTGAGCTCCTGACAACCCTGGGCACACAGCAGCATGGAGAGGAAGTCAGGGAGGGGCCCGCAGAGAACAGTGAAGTCATAGCAAAGCAGAAAGGAAATGTGGATGGAGAGGGTGTCCTCTCCAAAGCTGGGTGAGGCCAAAGGGTTAGCTGTGTCAAATGCACTGACAAGTCAAGGGAGACAAGGATGGACAGTAGCTACTGGAGTTAGTAGCAGGAGCTCACTGGTGACCTTGAGAAGAGAGGGTCATAGAGCAATGAGTGGGAAGAAGGCCTGGCCCAGTGAACTTTTTGGTAGACGTAGACTGAAGTAGATTCTTTGGGATAGGTGCTGTTTGGAAACACACCATTCCTCAACTCAAGTGAGGAAACTGAGGCTGAGACAAGTTCAAGGGCTTGCCCAAGGTCCCATATAGAGCCAGAATCCCCACTCCAGCTTGTCTTGACTACATCCCCTTGCTCTTCCCAGCCTCCCTTCTTGTGGCTGGTCAGGGCCTCCTTGGCAACTTCCTGTCTTGCCTGGTAGGTGTAGACAATACCCTCCCACCAGTTTTCCTTGCAACACCTGCGGCACACACATGCAGGTGCTTGGAGAATGGCCTTGCCCTCAGCCTTTAAGCCTGGACACACCTAGGCTTTGACCCAGACAATCCTGGGTTCAGAAATCCTGATTCTACCATGTACTGGTTTTATAACCCTGGGAAAATCACCTAGTGAGGTAAGCCGTGGTAACCCCATCTGTGTGACATGACCACTCTCTTCCTCTCAGATGTGGGGAACTGCAGGATACATCCCCTTTAGTGCATACCAAGCCTTCACTAAACATTTGCCAGTAGTTTGCTTGCCCAGTGTAGTTACTTAAGGAATTTGCAGCTGGCTGGGAAATAGCTTGGCAGTGACCAGGCAGCCTTCTCTAGATGATATGGGGAGAGCTGGGTGGCCTGTCATAGAGCCAGGGACTGGCAAAGATAAGGGGTCACTGGGTCCTCAGATGAGGCTTTCTGGAGAAGGAATGAGGGAAAATAGTGTGAACCTCAGGAGTTGTTGCCTAAAACTTCACACTTATTGTCTCACACAGATGCGGGAGGATGCATGGGAAAGGCATGGGTTCTGCTGATGGCCCTGGGTACAAGTCTAGGCCCCTTCACCTACCAGCTGAGTAACCTCAGTGTACCCTACCTATCTCCTCTGTGCCATGCTTCTGTCTGGAAGAGATAAGTAGAGCATGGCAGGGAGGGTTAATACTAGTGTGTGTAAAACACTTTGCTATATCCTAAGAGGGCCAGAATTCCAGGAACAGAGGACATACCATGGCAGAGACCCCCAGCAAGAGCAAAAACTATCTCATGACAACTCTCTGCTTCCTAAACCAGGTCAGAATCAATGTCTCAGCCAGGTGCTAGTGGCTCATGCCTATAATCCTAGCTACTCAGGAAACTGACATCTGAGGATTACGGTTCAAAGCCAGCCCCAGCAGGAAAGTCCATAAGACTCTTTATCGCCAACTACCAAAAAGCCAGAAGTGGAGCTTCAAGTGGTACAGTTCTAGCCTTGAAGGAAAACTCCAAGGAAGGAGGAAGAGATGGAGGAGGTGAAGAGGTCAAAATCTGGCATTCAACTGGCTGAAGCTGTGTATTTACTAGTAATACTATGATATCTTTTTTTTTTTTGTCAGTCATGGGACTTGAACTCAGGGCCTGGGCACTGTCTCTGAGCCTCTTTGTGCTCAAGACTAGTGCTCCACCTGAGCCAATGCCACTTCTGTTTTTTCAGTGGTTAATTAGAGCTAAGAGTCTCACAAGGACTTTTCTGCCTGGGCTGGCTTTGAACTGAGATCCTTAGATCTCAGACTCCTAAGTAGCTAGGATTACAAGTGTGAGCCACTGGCACACAGCTATGATATCTTTCATACTGTTCCTGGAATATTCATGCCTTACAAGAAGAAATGAGGGCTGGGGGTGTATCTTAGTGGTAGAATGCTTGCTTAGCATGCATGAAGCCTGGGTTCGATTCCTTAGTACCACATAAACAAAAAAAGCTGGAAGTGGCACTTTGGCTCAAGTGGTAGAGTGCTAGCCTTGAGCAAAAGAAGCTCAGGGACAGTGCCCAGGCCCTCAGTCCAAGCTCCAGGACTGGTAATTTAAAAAAAGGGGTGGGGGGGGGCTCGGAAGGTGGCTCAGTGATAGAGTGCTTGCCTTGCATGCATGAGGCCCTGGGTTCGATTCCTCAGCACCACAGAAAAAGCCAGAAGTGGGGCTGTGGCTCAAATGGTAGAAAAGAAAAGAAACAGGTAACATTGATTGAGAAGTAATATACTCATTGCCTTCCTCATGTAACTGTAACCGCTCTGCACAGCATCTTTACAATAAAACTTTTTAAAAAAAGAAGAAAAAATGAGAGTGTGGCTGAGAGTGGCTAGGGGAGTACAAAGTAGGCATATAGCTGATTGTGTACCCCTCCTTGTTGGGATTTCAGCAAGATGGACATTCTGTGTGTGTGTGTGTGTGTGTGTGTGTGTGTGTGTGTGTGTGCGCGCGCGCATTGCTGCTGCCTGGGCTCGAACTGTGGTACCTAGGCATGTTCCTTAGCTTTTCACTCAAAGCTCTCCACCACTTGAGCCACAGCTCTACTTGTGGCTTTTTGGAGATTAATTGGAGATGAGAGTCTCACAGACTTTCCTGCCCAGGATGGCTTTGAGCTGAGATCCTCAGATCTCAGCCTCCTAAATAGCATTATAGGCATGAGCCACTGGAGCCTGCTTCTGTGTTTCTTCTTGGTCAACACCATGGCTCCAGCACCGGCAACCTCTGTGAACCAGGTCTTGGTCAGGCACTAGGACCTGAGTGGAAGGAGGCAGACCTAGGAACTAACCATTACCATTTGGGGTTACAAACTTTTTCTGATTTTTCCCTCTCCCTTCCACCCCTTGTGCACACACATGCTTGTCTGCTGAAACCCTCTTCTTTTCACTGGAGCTGCAGCTCCTTCTTCAGATAGCAGTTTTTCTGGATCTTCTTTAGGAAGCCTCCACATACAGATTAACCACCTCTGTCATGCTGTCCCAGACCTGGTACTTCCTCTCTGCTGCTGTTTGCCTGCCCTGCTCCAGGGTGAGCCTCTCGGAGGCAGGGGTCCTCACGGTCTTCATACCTTTGTATCGTTAATACCTAGAATACAGTGGGCCTGGCACATGGAAGGAACATTCATGTATATGAATCGATAGGTATGTTGGACAAAGGCTATAGAAGGCTGCATATTGTTTTTTTTTTTTTTTGCGGGGGGGTCCGGTCATGGGGCCTGAACTCTGGGCCTGGGCGCTGTCCCTCAGCTCTTCAGCTCAAGGCTAGCACTCTACCACTTGAGCCACAGCGCCACTTCCGGCTTTTTTCTTTTTGCTTATGTGGTGCTGAGGAATCGAACCCAGGGTCTCAGGCATGCAAGGCAAGCGCTCTACCACTGAGCCACCTTCCCAGCCCAGAAGACTGCATATTGAACTGATGGCACAGGCATACAGTCTGACCTTCTCTCCTCTCTTGTGTTGTTTTTTTCAGCTGTGTTATCCAGGATCCCCCCAGAGCCAAGACCTTCTCCAGAAGGCGACCCTTCTCCACCTCCACCACCACCACCGACGTCAACCCTGGTCCCTGACACTCCCCCAGATACCCCTCCTGCAATGAAGAATGCCACTAGCCCTAAACCAGAGAGCCCTGCAGAGCAGGTTGAGCCCAGACCAGCCCTGCTGCAGGAAGAATCCCCTTCCTCAGACTCAAAGAGCAGAGGACCCACCCCACCAGCCTCAGGCCCAAGGGATGCCAGGCCTCCTCGAAGGAGCAGCCAGCCCTCGCCAACATCAGTGCCAGCCTCTGACAGCCCTAAGCAAGGTATGTGTAATGTCATTTGCCTTGGGTCCTGGGTGGTGCCATGCAAGGAAATCCCTTCTGCTTTGGAGGACATGGGGATGGCAGGAGTGAGGCTGGAGGAAGGCCCAAGGCTGGCTGCTCCTTAGGGAGACCTTTAGACTTGTCTGTTCTTGTTCCCTTTGCTAAGATGTCAAGAAGGCAGGAGAGAGACACAAGCTGGCAAAGGAGCGGCGAGAGGAACGGGCCAAGTACCTGGGTGAGTGTTTGGGAAGCAGCAGCAGCAACTGCATAACTGACAATGCTAGAAGGCTGCATGTGTAAGGCTGTGTAAGACTAGTACCTGCATTATCTCATTAAAACCTCTCACCTATGGGAAGAAGGAACAGGATCAGAGAAATGAAATCTCTTGCCTAAATTGGACAGCTAGTGGAAAGGCAGAGATTCAGACCCTGATGCATCTTTTCACCCCAAATTCATGCTCTTAACCACAGCATGTGGAAATCTGTCCAGTAGGCCCCCAAGTAGTGTGGAGTCTCACACTGAAGAATTCATTTGTCCTTCAGTCCTCAGAGATGTGAGTTGAGATCAAAGGAGGAGAAGCAGACCTCACCCCAGAGCTGCCTCCCATAAGTCCTTAAGTATGAAGGGGTGCCTGGGAATGGAGGCTCCACCTAGGCAGAGAGCAGAGACCATCCAAGTCTGTCACAGGACTCCTCACACGCCACGGGGCTCCTTTTCTTGCAGCGGCCAAGAAGGCAGTGTGGCTAGAAAAGGAGGAAAAAGCCAAGGTGCTACGAGAGAAACAGCTCCAGGAGCGCCGGCGGCGGCTGGAGGAACAACGGCTGAAAGCTGAACAACGCCGGGCAGCCCTGGAAGAGAGGCAGCGGCAGAAGCTCGAGAAAAACAAGGTATATTTCCGCTAATCCTACCTGGGTTCTCAAAAATCTGGAGGTATGAGGATGCACATGCCCATGTGGGTGTGCTGGTCAAGTACATATACATACACACTGGCATTTGTGCCTCCTGTAGCCATGTCTGCACAGTCCTGTCGGTGAACCGTCACATCTGGGTTTCAGTGTCTGGGCCTCTGCACTGCAGATGGTCCGTGTGTCTGCTAATGTATATGTAGGTAGATCCATGTCTTTGTGACTGTGCCTACATGGGTAGAACCCTGGTGTGAGGGCTGGTGAGTTAGTGAAGGAAAAATGGTGTATAGACCAGCCCCAGGGTGCTTGGGTAAAAAGGAAAACACAGCCCCAAGGTCAGGACCTTGGTGCCAGGAAGACCTGGGCTTGTCCAGAAGCGCCAGACAGGGAAAGTCCCACCCCATGCTCAGAGAAGCAACTCATAGACCCAGGAAATGACTCAAACACACTGAAAAGCTCTCCAATAACAATGGAAAGGGATCTATCCCACATGGGCCTTAATCATAGCAGGGTCTTTGTAACCTTGGTTACCTGCAATGAGTCAGGGAAAGCTTGGAAGTGGGCTCTGGAGGGCAGAGGTCCTGTCATGGGAGGAGAAAGGTCTCTCTCCCAGGGATGATGGATGATTCTGAATCCAGACCCCTGTCCTCTTCACCTGCCCCCAGGAGCGCTATGAAGCAGCCATCCAGCGGTCAGTGAAGAAGACATGGGCTGAAATCCGGCAGCAGCGCTGGTCCTGGGCAGGGGCCCTGCACCACAGCTCCCCAGGACGTAAGACTAGTGAGTGGGCTGGAAGGCTTGCTGGCTGGGTGGGAAAGGCTGGGGTCTGGTAATGGGAGGGAAGGGAATAACTTACTTATGTAGAAGGAGCTGGCCGCTCCCTGCAGCTGGTGTGTCTTGCTTCATGTGACTTGTGTCTTCTGGAATGGTCTGTAAACCAAATTGCCCTTCTCAAGGACTCCACTCTCAAATCAGAGATGGATTCTCTCCACTTGGTTTGTTCCTCAAACCTCTGTCATTTTAGGAGTAGCCTTCTTTGCTCCTGTCAATTACTGTTAGTTGATGATACATAAAAGAGGAATTTAATGCCCTGCAGACACTGGATATTTAAAGAAAACTGTCACCCCTGTCTTGGAAGGTAGATTTTCGTCTCTGAGTTTTCTTCATGTAGGCACATCACGGACTTTGGTCTAATACTTTGCTGGCATGTATGTACCACTGTGCTTGGATGTCTTTGTGCAATGGCGAGGTTCCCTATGTCTAGCTGTATATCTTCCAGTGTAAGTGCTCGTGGATCTGTGTTGTGTAGCTTAATGTGTTTGTGATGGTATGTTTGTGGCCTTGTGTACCTCAGTGAGGGCTTCTAAAATCAGACAGACTTGGATTCCAGCTCTGGCACTGGTGGTATGACCTTTATCTTCTCAGCCTCTCACTTTCATCTGTGAAATGGGGACAATAACATTGCCTGCCTCCGAGGTTGTAGGTAGATGTTTGGAGGATCAATTGAGGTAACATGTATAGTGCCCAGCACAGTGCCAGGCCCATGGTAAGCATCAACAAATGTCAGCTGTTGTAAATATCATGGTTAGGTTGCTTCCATGTATCTGTGCCTTGTGTGCATCTGAGTCTGATACATTCATTACCTGTTGTGTATCTGTGCATGTCTGCACACACATGTGCATGCATAAGTATCTATCACTCTATTTGCCTGTGTCTGCATGTCTTTGTCTTTACGTCTGGATGAATATGTGGATTTGTGCAAGTGACTGTGACTCTGTGAGTTCTTCTGTTCAGGAACTTCTGCATTGTCCCAGGATGTGGGTGTTGTATCCATAGCGCCTTGGCTGGGCAGTGTCAGCAAGTGCCAATGCTGGGTGGTTGTGGGAGGGGTTGCAGCACCCAGCCCTAGGGAATGGCTTCCTTTGGTCTGGCCAGAAAGGCTGTAGTTGTTCTAGTTTTATGCCATCTCCTCCCTCTGCTCCTCCATCAGCTCCCCCAATTCAGGTTGTCTCTGATCACCTACCCTCCCCCTCCCCCTTTCACTGCCAAGTCCACCTCCTCCCCCATCCTAGCCTGCCCAATCCTCCCTCTCCCATCCTGCCCTCGGAGCATCCTGCATGGAAGGCCTCAGTGCCCCCCCTGGCTCCCGTCTGGCCCGGCCCTAATGCCGTGTCTTTTCCCCTCCAGGTGGGAACAGGTGCTCCGTGTCGGCAGTAAACCTGCCCAAACACGTGGACTCTATAATCAACAAGCGGCTCTCAAAGTCCTCTGCCACACTCTGGAACTCCCCCAGTAGAAGTAAGAGAAGGCCCAGCCTTCCCCCTGCAGAGCCCCGTGTAGTCCCCAACAAGCCTCCTCCAGTGCTCAGCAATAATACAGTCCTTGCAGTCCTCCTATACTATAAGCCCCTTTCCCCACCCTACCCCACCCCCGCTCTGTGCCTTTCAGGGGAGCCAGTATTTGGGGCCCGTGCCCTGAGAATAGAGTTGTGCCCTACAGGACAAGAGAACACAAAAAAAAGGCCCAGAGGGCAGAAAGCCTGACAGGGCGTGCAAGAGCTAGTTGGGGGCAGTGACTGGGGATGGGAATGGACAGGCAACCTTATCTCCAACCACAGCTAGCTGGCCTGCCAATGTTAGACAGGTGGTCTTGCCCCCTTGTGTCAGACTTGCCTGGGTGCTGAGGGCCGTATCCTGGCTCCACCCTGGAAGACCATGCTACCCTGTACTCAGCCATAGCCTTGGCTTATTCCAGAACTGTGGTCAACCAGGGTGGCACAGCCTCTGCGTTCCCACCATGCCCCGGTGCTTACATATGAAGGAGCTGTGGTAGGAGTTATTTATAAATTTCTCTAGCTTTTATTTGGTTGCTCTGTTGCCTAGCAACCCAATCAGCTGCTACACCAACCCCACCTGACTGAGGCTTAAAAATAACCCAGCAGCTGAGGGGACCGAGCAGGGTGGCCTGGGGCAGCCAGTCCCCCTAGCAGCCTCTCCCTGGCACAGAACTCCTGAAGGCTGGGTCAAGGAAGCACAAGGCCCCTCACTGCCCCAAATTCAGGGAACATGCTTTCCCCAAGCCAGCGCTTTGGAAGTAGGAGAAGCAGGGCCCGACAGAGGGACCTGGGAGAGGGCCCCGGGCTCCACCAGTCCTGGATGGCCGCTTCCTGTGCCCTGGGTTTAGAGCGTTCTCCCCCGAGACTGGAGGTGTCCCTGAAGCCATGCAGGTCGTCGCCCTGGGAAGTGTTTTGTTGCCTGGGTCTGCAGTGGAAGGCCAGATTTCAGGGAGGACAAGTTTGGCCCCGCGTGACTTGGGGGGTGAGAATCCTCTGGCTGGGTGTGGAGGCCGTCCCTGGTCTCCGCGTCCCCCTGCCTGCGGGTGACCGTCTTCCCGGTGTTCTCCTCAGATCGCAGCCTGCAGCTGAGCGCGTGGGAGAGCAGCATCGTGGACCGTCTGATGACGCCCACCCTCTCCTTCCTGGCTCGGAGTCGCAGTGCGGTCACCCTGCCCCGAAATGGCCGCGACCAGGGTAGGGGCGGCGGCCCTGGGAGACGCCCCATCAGGGGCCGGGCAGGGGCCAGCCTCGGGCCTGGACCGCACCCCGACCGCACTCATCCCTCTGCAGCCGTGCCCGTGTGCCCGCGCTCGGCCTCCGCCAGCCCCCTGACACCTTGCAGCGCCCCTCGAAGCAGCACGCACCGCTGCACCCCCGCCGGGGAGCGCGGGGAGCGGCGCAAGCCCGGCGCAGGCGGCAGCCCCGCTTTGGCTCGCCGCCGGCCGGAAGCCTCGCCGGTGAGTGGGCGCCGGGCGCACGGTTGGGACCACAGGCCTGGGCCCGGGGCCGTGGGCGCCACTGACCTCTGCTCCCCACCCCGGCCCCTCTCCACCGCCAGGTGCAGAAGAAAGAGAAGAAGGATAAGGAGCGGGAAAACGAGAAGGAAAAAAGCGCCCTAGCCCGGGAGCGCAGCCTTAAGAAGCGCCAGTCCCTCCCTGCCTCTGTGCGCCTCTCCACAGGCGCCTCCTCCCAGCCCAGGTGGGCCACCTGACAGTGTCTCACAGACGCTTCCGGGCACCTACCCGAGGGGGACTGCTCCCTTTTCAGTCAGTGCTCTCAGTCTTTGTCTCTCTCCCTCTCTTTTCTCATCCCCTCCCTCTCTCCCTCCTCAGCCTTCTTTCTGCTTCCTCCACACTTCCTTTCTCCTCCCTCCTTTTCTCCTTGTCTCCTTCCCTCCTTCTTTCCTCTCCTCATCCTCTACTACTGCTTTCTCCTCCTCCTCTTCTTCCCCTTACTCTCTCCTTTTGAGCCAAGTTCTCAGTATGTAGCCCATGCTGGACTGAGACTCAAGACCCCCCCCCCCCCCCCCATCTCAGCCTCTTGACAGCTAGGATTTTAGGCATGCACCATCATTCCTAGACTGTCTTTTTTTTTTTCTTCTTTCTTTTCCTCCCTTCTTTTCTCTGTTTCTCCTCTTTTCCTTTCTCTTTATCATGTTTTGATAATAGAAGTGTCTCCACATTTTAAAGTGTCTAGCACCTAATAAGCACTCAGTATACTTGCTGAATGAATGAATGCTGAGTAGTGTTCCTGGTGATTAAGACACTTTAGTGAGCTAACCCAGGGCTGGGCCAGTTTTGCTCTTAAGTGTATAGGCTAGGGAGCTGGGAAGGCGGCTCAGTGGTAGAGTGCTTGCCTTGCAAGTATGAGACCCAGGGTTCGATTCCTCAGCACCACATAAGCAGAAAAAACTGGAAGTGGCACTGTGGCTCAAGTGGTAGAGTGCTAGCCTTGAGCTGAAGAGCTGAGGGAGAGTGTCCAGACCCAGAGTTCAGGCCCACGACTGACCAAAAAAAAAAAAATGTATAGGCTATTGGAGAGACATGAATCAAAGACCGTCTTAAATGAATATATAATTGTAAACTGGCCTATTTACACTGAATCTTGTGAGGTGAAGAGGTGGGAGGGGAGTTGCTGACCTAGCCTGGGGGAGGGGCACTCCTGAGAAAGAGACATGCTCAGTGTGTGTGTGCGCGCACACGCGCACACATACGCACAGTGCTCTGTACTCTATATGCTCCAATTGTAACTTTCTCTTTTAGCCCTAAGTCGAAGGCCCGGACGTCCTCTCCCTCCACATCCTGGCCTAGGCCTGCCTCTCCTTGCCTTAGCCCTGGGCCTGGCCACACTCTGCCTCCAAAACCACCCTCCCCCCGAGGCACCACTGCATCACCCAAGCGGCGAGTTCGGAGGAAGGAGGAGGCAAAGGAGAGCCCCAGCCCAGCAGGGGCTCAGGACAAGAACCAGGACAAGGGCAGGGCCAGTGATGAGAAGGAGCCCCCAGGCCCAGCCTCACCAGCACCCTCACCCGTGCCCTCACCCACCCCAGCCCAGCCCCAGAAGGAGCAGCCCATTGCGGAGATCCCTGCAGGTGAGGATGAAGACGTGGTGGGCACAGCAGAGAAGCTAGCTTTGCCTTGGTCCAGGAGGAGGTAGTCAGGGGTATGGGTTATCACAGATGCCTGGAGACTGGGTGTTGGGAGGCAGGAAAGAAGGTGGCTCAGTACACAGCTGGTCTGGCCCTCAGAACACAGGCCACACTGAGGGATAGCAGCTATGGAGTAAATAGGTTACCTTGACATCCAGGAAGCAAGAATGGTAGAAGGGTCTGCTTGCACTGGTGGTGACTACTAACTGATCCTGGATCCTCCTCCAGAGATTCCTGTCCTGATCTCATCCCCAGCCCCTGCTCCACCGGTGACCCCTAGCAAACCCATGGCCGGCACCACAGACAGAGAAGAGGCCACTCGTCTCCTTGCTGAAAAGCGGCGTCAGGCTCGGGAACAGCGGGAGCGGGAGGAACAGGAGAGGAGACTACAGGCTGAAAGGGACAAGTGAGTTTACCTTCCCAGATTGGGCAGCATTTCTAGGGTCTGGAGAAGAGGAGCAGACTGTGCCTGAATTTCCTGCCCACCCGTGTTTTCCAGGCGAATGCGGGAAGAGCAGCTGGCACGAGAGGCTGAGGCTCGGGCTGAACGTGAAGCCGAGGCCCGGAGGCGGGAGGAGCAGGAGGCCCGAGAGAAGGCACAGGCTGAGCAGGAAGAGCAGGAACGGCTGCAGAAGCAGGTACTCAGGCAGGCTTTGAGCAGGCCAGGAGGGAGGGCTGGAGCCAGCTGCCCAGAACTCATAGAAGTCTTTGGCAGAAAGAGGAAGCTGAAGCCCGGTCTCGGGAAGAAGCTGAGAGACAGCGTCTTGAGCGGGAAAAGCACTTCCAGCGGGAGGAGCAGGAGCGGCAGGAACGCAAAAAGGTGAGCAAAACAGAGGGTGGGGTCTTGTGGGTAGGGCCCAGCACTGGTGGGTGGGGCCTGCATCTGGCCTGGATCTTTCTCCTTTTCCTGAGACAGGATAAAGACCATGCATGAATAGCAGGCCCAGCCTTGAGCTTGTAAAGTGAAGGAGCTGGAGCAAGTTCTGGTTCCTGGCCGCCTTGGGCTTGTATAAGCTGGGAAGGCACTGAGCTCAGCATCAGGACCATCGGTTGGGAGGTTTAGGATTAGGGAAGGCTTTGAACCTAACTGATATGGGGCCTCCAAACAGCGTCTGGAGGAGATAATGAAGAGGACTCGGAAGTCGGAAGCTGCTGAAACCAAGGTCAGGTCTCCCAGGTTGGGTATGGGATGGGAGGTTGAGTGAGGAAAAGAGGCTTCAAAAAGCCATCCAGAGCCAAGGCAGGAGGCTGCTCAGGTCTGGACTGACAGAGAGAAGAGTTCAGTGCCACCATGAGGTGGTTAGATAGCCCTTGAGCCTGACTGCTCTTCCTCTTCAAAGCAGAAGCAGGACAGAAAGGAGGCAGCAGCTAACAATTCCAGCCAAGGTAAAGCCTCTGTTCCCTTCATCTCCATCCCCTGCTCCTCCAGCCTCACTCCTTACCAGTACCTGAATTCTGACTATTGTTCTTTCCTGTGACAGACCCAGAGAAAGTTGTGGAGGCTAGGTCCTCAGGCCTGCACAAGGACACTATGCAGAAAGAGGAGCTGGCCCCCCAGGAGCCACAGTGGAGGTATCAACTCCCAACCCCCGGGACTTGGGCAGTGAGGCAGTCTCAGCCTGGAGTTGTGGAGTAGGTGGGGGTGGCCTACATTTTACAGGGAGGCAAGCCGCTGACTATGAGCTTTGCACCCACAGCCTGCCAAGCAAGGAGCTGCCAGGATCCCTGGTAAATGGTCTGCAGCCTCTCCCAGCACACCAGGAGAACGGCTTCTCCCCTAAGGGACCTTCTGGGGACAAGAGTCTGGGCCGAACACCAGAGGCACTCCTGCCCTTTGCAGAGGCAGAAGCCTTTCTCAAGAAAGCTGTGGTGCAGCCTCCTCAGGTCACAGGTGGGGTCCCCGGGCTCCTGGACCCAGCAGTATCCTCCTAGCAGCCTTCCCTCTACTCCCCAGCCCTGCCCTTTTCCTCCCTTCCTGCCAGAAGCCTTCTCTTGCTTCACCATGGGAACCCCACAGCCTAGCCTTGAAGGCAGGCTTTGCCTGATGTCTTTCCTTTCTTCTCCCTCAGAAGTCCTTTAAGCAGTTGCCTTGGATCCAGGTGCGGCTATGAAGGCTCCTCTGCATCGTCTACCTAGATGTCTGCAGAAGAAAGAGACAGAGCAAAGATGGAAGTGGCCTAGGCCCCTGGGGGTGGGTCCTCTCTGTTGTTTTTAATCTGCACCTTATAGACTGATGTGTCTTTGGCTGGAGCCAGACCCTGCCCCTCAGTGCATTCGTGTGCTCACACGCGCGGTCACCTCTCCCCCTACACACACATACACTCACAGCCTTTCTGGCCTCCCCCTGGGGAAGGGCCACCTGTAGTATTGCCTTGGTTTGGTGGGGTACAGTGGATGTGAATACTGTAAATAGCTTGTGCTCAGACGCCTCAGCGTGGAGGGGGCGGGAGGCAGACCTTCCTCCCAAGGCTTCCTGGGGAGATCTTCCTCCCTCTATTTAACTGTAACTGAGGGGGAACTCAGGTCTGGGAATGGGGGGCACCTTGGGCCACAGGATACTGGTTGCTTCAGGGGTAACCATGCCCCCTGCCCTCACCTGGAATCAGTGTTATTGCATCTGATCAAACTTCTCCAGAAATAAAGTGAGAATAATTCTGCCAACCCGTCTATCCTTGGAGCTGGTAGAGAGGGAAAGGAGCACTAAGAACGTAGGGAGCTCAGGGCCCAGGGATCTCTATCTCCACCTGATTGTACCCATCCTAGACCTTGTCCTGCAGTCTTCTAGATCATAGATTCATTCATTTAATCATTCAAGTTTTGTTGTAGCCGGGCGCTGGTGGCTCACTCCTGTAATCCTAGCTACTCAGGAAGCTGAGATCTAAGGATCATGGTTCAAAACCAGCCCAGGCAGGAAAGACCGTGAGACTCTTATCTCCAATAAACCACCAGAAAACCGGAAGTGGCGCTGTGGCTCAAGTGGTAGAGCACTAGTCTTGAGCTGAAGAGCTGAGGGACAGCGCCCAGGCCCAGAGTTCAAGCCCCACGACCGACAGAAAAAAAAAAGTATTGTATCTGTACCAGGTATTGGGCTGCACACTGAAGATGCGTTAATAGGAAAAGATATAGCTTAGACTGGACATGCTGACAGACACCTATAATTGCAGCTACAAGGGAAGCAGACATTGGGTAGACCAATATTCAAGACCATCCTGGTATAATTAATATCTATAATCTCAGCTATCTAGGAGGCATAGATAGGAGAGTTGTGGTCCAAGGCCAAACTGGCCGGGGGAAAAGGGGGGGACACAAAACTATTAAAATCAGAAAAAGGTGGGGGCATGGCTCAAGAATACCCGTCGAACAAGCACAAGGCCCTGAGTTCAAACTCCAGTATTGCAAAACAAAAATGAAAAACTTTCCTTTTGTGGAGTTTATAGTCTAGCAGCGAGCATTATAAATACTGAAGGATATCTACTCAACACCCATCCCTGTTGCCTTGTCCTCATTCTGGATGCAATCCTAATCTGTTGAAGTAGCCATCTTCCTTTTAGACACCATCCTGGGCTTCAGCCAGGTGGAATCTAGGCCCAGGGACAGCAAATCAGGATTGTGATGAGCCAGAAATGATGGTCCCCAAATCCCTTACAAGTGATTTGTCTTAGGCATGAGCAGGTGACAGTTCTAGCCAATGGACATGAAGAGAAGTCTTCTGAGGGCTTCTGGGAAAGGCTTCTTCACTTTAGAAAAGAAACACTGGCAGATAGCCTCTAAAGTGACCTCCTTTAGAATGTCCCCTAGAACTCACACCCATGGGTAGTCCCTTTGTATCTAGGTTGGCTGAGTGACCAGTAGAATGCAACAGAAAGGATGATCTGTCATTCCAAGAATAAGTTATGAAATGCACCACAACTTCTGTCACAATTGCTTTCTCAATCTTCAGCCGCTTACTCTGAAGGAAAGCAGTGGCTGTGTCGTGAGCAGCTTTACAAGAGGCCCCCATGCATCCAGAAACAAGTTTCCTGCCAGCAGCCACTTGAATAAGCTTGGAATCAATTCTCTAGCCCTGTTCAGCCTTCAGATGACTTCAGCCCTGGCCAATAATGTGACTATCACCTCATAAGAAACTCTAAATTAGAACCACATTTAAGCCACTCCTGGGTTTCTAACCATTGGACATTGTGAGATAAAGCTGGGTGCTAGTGGTTCATGCTTATAATCCTAGCTGCTCAAGGCTGAGATCTGAGGATTGAGGTTTGAAGCCAGCCCAGGCAGGAAAATCTGTGAGACATCCCCCATTAGCCACCAAAAGCCAGAAGTCGAGATGTGGCTCAAGTGGTAAAGCACCAGCCTAGAGTAAAAAAGGAGCTAGGAATAGCTTACCAAGGCCCTTAATTCAAGTCTCAGTCCTAAAAAAAAAAAAACTACTAAATTTTGTGATAATTTGTCACACCGAAGTAGTTGATTGGTTTGATTGTACAATGAGGAAACCCTGCTTGTATGCTCCAAGGTCTGACTGTGATGCTTGGGATGGCTGCAGCCATTCTGCTAACCAACTTGAAGACAAAGCCAACATCCTGGACAGCAGAGCAAGGAAAAGAAAACCTAGGTCCTTGAGAACTTGGCATTAACCAGCCCTAAAATAGTCCTAAACTAGTAGCCCAAAGCTCCCACCTCCTGTGGAAACACAGACAAACAAATACATAAATTTGTTTCCTTTGTGAAAAAAAAGAGAAGGAAATGAACTGGGTGAAAGGGTGGGAATAATTTGTGTAAGGAAGCAATATTTAAATTTGACCTGAAGGCAGAGGAGTGGCAGGTGGTGTGTCAGCATATGGGAGGCCCCCAGGGCTATGAGCTAGGGCATCCTGAGCTGTTCCATGCCCTCTCCACGATTGGAGCTCCTACGCCTACCTCTCCCAAGCCCCAGCTCAGCCACTGGTTCATGTTTGCAGAGGCACTGCCCTGGCAATGCTCTTGGGAAAGCATTTACTCACTATTCAATCAATAAATTGCCTGTGGCGTACCAACTAAGCACCAGAGGGATTCAGTGGCAAGCAGAAACCAGGCCCAGCAGCTCCCCAGCTTCTTGGTGGAGAAGATGGGTATTACTCAAATACCACACAGACGAATATGAACATGGAATACGTAAGCGCTAAAAAGACAGTATCAACAAGAGTGTAGTGACAGCCAGATGGGCACTGCTGGCTCCAGCCTGTAATCATACCTACTCAGGACACTAAGATCTAAAGATCACAGACACGCCGGGCGCTGGTGGCTCACGCCTGTAATCCTAGCTACTCAGGAGGCTGAGATCTGAGGATCGTGGTTCAAAGCCAGCCCGGGCAGGAGAGACCATGAGACTCCTATCTCCAATAAACCACCGGAAAACCGGAAGTGGCGCTGTAGCTCAAGTGGTAGAGCGCTCGCCTTGAGCTGAAGAGCTGAGGGACAGCGCCCAGGCCCAGAGTTCAAGCCCCACGACCGACAAAAAAAAAAAAAAAAAAAAAAAAAAAAAAAAAAGATCACAGACTCAAAGCCAGCCTGGATTAACAAATCTGAGCAACTCTTATCTCCTGTCGACTAGCAAAAAGCTAGAAGTAGAGCTGTGGCTCAAGTAATAAAGTGCTAGCCTTAAGCAAAAAAGCTCAGAGACTGTGCTCAGGTCCCAAGTTGAAGTCCCAAGACCAGAAAGAAAACAAAAAAGGAATACAGCAAGGATGTGAACCAGGGCCAGGTCACATAAGGTTCCTTGAATAAAAGGATTCGGCTGAGACCTGATGGTGCATAGATGTTGACTGGGCAAGGTCAGGAAGCACAGAAAGCAGAGGCAGAAGCACCTTTCAGACAAGGGAAAAGACTGGAAAGGAGTGGGGTCTGAGTAGCCACAGGACTGCGAGCAGATCTTCAGTCTGCTTTTGCTCATAAACAACAGCCCCAATGCCCAGTAGAACAGCACTCAATATTTTTTGAATCAGCCGGGTGCTGGTGGCTCATGCCTGTAATCCTAGCTACTCAGGAGGCTGAGATCTAAGGATTACCAGCCCCGGCAGGAATGTCTCAGACTCTTAACTAAACCACCAGAGAACTGGAAATAGTGCTGTGGCTCAAGTGGTAGAGCGCTTGCCTTGAGCTAAAGAGATCAGGGACAGCACCCAGGCCCGGAGTTCAAGCCCCACGACCGGCCCTCCCCTCCCCCCCAAAAAATTGTTGAATTAAAGATCTGATGAGGTGGAGCTTGGCATGGGGGCAGCCAGACCAGGCAAGGCCTTGTAAGGCTGTGGTCAGAAGCTTGGGTTTTAGTCTGTGCACCCTGTAAAACAACTGAAGGCTGTTAAACAGTAAGGTAGGTGACATAATCAGATCAGCAATTTTATTAGACCAATCTGGCTTCTGAGTGGGAAATAAGTTGGTAAGGATTTGACTATAAGCAAGGAAACAAGAAGTAATTACCAAGGTCCAGGAAGAGATGACAGAGGCCAAGTCTTGAGTGGCAGAGATGTGGAAAAGCAAGTGGGCAATAAATTTACTTAGCCGTTTCATGAACATTTGTTGAGCATCTCCTGTATGCTAGGCCCAGGGCTGGTGGAGAAAGAGAGAGAGAGAGAGAGAGAGAGAGAGAGAGAGAGAGTGTGTGTGTGTGTGTGTGTGTGTGTGTGTGTGTGTGTGTGTGTGCGCACGTGCACGCAAGCCAATGCTGGGGCTTGAAATCAGGCCCTCATACTATTGCTTAACTTTTTCACTCAAGTCTGGTGTTTTACCATTTGAGCCACACCTTCCAACTCTTCTTGTTAATTGGAGATAAGAATCTCTCAGAAAGCCGGGCGCTGGTGGCTCACGCCTGTAATCCTAGCTACTCAGGAGGCTGAGATCTGAGGATCTCGGTTCAAAGCCAGCCCGGGCAGGAGAGACCATGAAACTCCTATCTCCAATAAACCACCAGAAAACCGGAAGTGGCGCTGTAGCTTAAGTGGTAGAGCGCTCTCTTTGAGCTGAAGAGCTGAAGGACAGCGCCCAGGCCCAGAGGTCAAGCCCCACAGCCGACCAAAAAAAAAAAAATAAGAATCTCTCAGAAGCCAGGTACCAAGCTCGGCACTGGTGGCTCACGAGTGTAATCCTAGCTACTCAGGAGGCTGAGATCGAGGATCGCCGTTCAAAAGCAGCCCAGGCAGGAAAGTCCATGAAACTCTTATCTCCAATAAACCACCAGAAAACCGGAAGTGGTGCTATAGCTTAAATGGTAGAGCACTAGTCTTGAGCTGAAGAGCTCAGGGATAGTGCTTAGGCCCAGACTTCAAGCTCTACGACCAAAAAACAAAACAAAAAAAAACGGCACCAGTTGCTTGCGCCTATAATCCTATCTACTCTGAGATCTCAGATCTCAACTCTGAGATCTGAACTGAGATTTGAGGATCTCAGTTCAAAGCCAACCCAGGCAGGAAAGTCTGTGAGACTCTTTCTTTTCTTTTTTTCTTTTTTTTTGGGGTCCGGTCTTGGGGCCTGAACTCTGGGCCTGGGTGCTGTCCCTCAGCTCTTCAGCTCAAGGCTAGCGCTCTACCACTTGAACCACAGCGCCACTTCTGGCTTTTTTCTTTTTTTGCTTATGTAGTGCTGAGGAATCGAACCCAGGGCCTCAGGCATGCAAGGCAAGCGCTGTACCACTG